AGCCCGTTCAGTGAAGGACAAAATTATAGTAGATTTCTTGTCTGGGTTTCTGTATCATACACAGCTTACCCAACGCTATATAGAACGAGCAAACAGTTATTTGATTGAACGGATATATTCGAACAGTTTTGGTGTCACTCGCCCTGGAAAACCTAAAATTCAATCGAATCCACCACAGGTTCAAGTGAATCCGCTGTAAATTATCTTCCATTTCTGGGTGCATAAAGCAAACACTTGACTCGACTGTTATATTCACGTCGAAACCAGTCATCTTTCTGCAGACTGAAGATAGATAGCCCCGGGTGCGACCTCAATTTGTGGTTATCAGTTCACGTGCATTTATGGAGAAATGCATGTGGGTCGAGTGGTGAGACATCCGTCAGATTGCATCAAAGAGCATCAACCCGTTTGGTTGAACAAGGGGTTGACAAGGATCAGGGCAACGGCAATCACGAAATATTTGATTGAGTCTACGCACACAGTCAATGTGCTTGAGGATTTCCTTCACCCCTCTACGTCCAGGGGTAGGTTATTAAATGAGGTCAATTTCGAAATTTTGTTATGTTCACTGAGCGATTCCCCAGAAAATTTATATAATTTTTCGTAATGTGAAATCTAAAATAAAATAAAGGAGGTTATAACATATTACAGAAAAATGCGTAGGTTGCTAGTCGTTACCATTCCCTCTAATGTGCTAAGTCTCTGACATTAAACAATCATGCAAATTCTATTCTATTCTTTTGCATTCTAGCACATTCGATTGGTGCACATTTGATTTGCTCACCCTAGTAAACGGACGTGTACAGTTAGACATAGGCTAATATAAAGTATGACTGAACAAAATGTCTTCCACTCCATTTTATTTAGACGTTATGTGGACGGTATGTTTGTTATTACGGAACCTTAACAAATTGGATCCTTTGTGAAACAATTTAGCTCCATTTTTCGCATCTTTCCTTATCCGACAAAGAAGAAGTAACCAACGGTTCTTCAGCATTTTTGAACATTATAATTACGAAGTGCTTAGATGGCGTATTACAGCGTTTTATACAGAGAAAAACAACAAATGGTGGTCAAAATTTACAGTTCTCTAGCACCTCATCCATGTTTTACAAACGTGGGCTCGTAAGAGCTCTGTTCCATAGAGCCAGAGACCTTTGTTCCCCAGACATTATGAAACGACGCAGAATTCATTAGGGAAACGTTGCTTCGAAACGTTTACCGCAAAGGATTCATTGATAGCCCTAGTAACCAATTTGAATATGGATGTGGTTTGTAGCTCAGGTTGATGGTTTGTGTTCACTGAGTTTGGCGTTTAGATCGCAACGTTTCGATCTAAACGCCAAGCTCAGCGAACACAAGACCCCACATAGTAACCAACCTCAAAATGTTAATCCATCACCTTCTGAATGATGTGCGCTAAAAGTTAAAGTCAACTCTGAACTGCGCATTGCCAGCTGCTCAACTTTGTCTTATTGCCTCTACCCATGGAGTCGATTCGGATAGACGTGCACGTAGTCGACAACCCAGTTCTGGCTCACATATTATATACCAGTTAACCTGCAGTTGCGGTGACGCGTACAACGGTGGAACCCACCGTCAATTATCACAAAGGATGGCCGAACACATTCCAATGTCCATGACGAAAGCCACAAGAAGTAATCAGGCGGTCACACGTAATCTGAGCTATCGATTTTCAAACACCTGATGACAATGAACATACATAATTGATTGCACTTCTTCTTTCAAACCGCTATTACGTAACTGCAATGCAAAACCACTGGCAATAAGTGAGGCGTTGCTAATCCGTTTTCATCATGCCGTCACGTGCGCCCAAAAGTTGTTGACCCAATCAACTCACAATGCTAATTGTACGCTGACCGAAATACCCGACAAATTCGTCCCCAAATGCATGATTTACTTTCAGCTGCATTTCGGTGACAATTTACATAGCGAATGAAATCGGAAACAAAATGTTTTACAGTACCGCCTCTCCCATTCTTACTCACACATGCCAACATATACTCTACCTCTAGTCAATCTGCCGTTAACAGTTAATGCGAAATCACAGTTCCCATACCTGATGGCATTCGGAGGCTATACTCCTTAACGACGAGGAACTCAATGGCAAATTCGACCGAGACTGACTGAACATGTTCTACTTTAGGTAGATACCATTTCTTTTTATCATTTTACTTCTTTTTCTCGAGTATACGAAAATACAACATTTCAGGAAGGGGAACGCGGCCAATCAGAGGGCTGCCATACAATACACATAATGAATAAAGACAGGCGGTGATGGGGAGATTCAAACATACGAAATTTGCGGCGATTGTTGCTGACCTTGCCACCGAGCCACCAACACCATTAGAGTGGAAATCGTTGTCAACCGATGGGAAATATGTCAACGATCATCAATCGGAAACCCATCAGTCTCTTGCGTTGCACAGCATTTGAATGAGTAAATGTCGGTTCAAATGAACAAGGGCATTCTCATCGATCCTATCTAACATCAATTCACGTTTACTGCAGTTTGCTGAAGCAGTTGCGATTCAATCAAGGAAGCCAACGTTATTCGGCCTTTATTCCACGACCGCTCTTCACTGACTATGTCAATCACCTTGACTGCAGTATGCACATATTCAAATGTAGCTGAATAGCCATCAATACACTGTACTAATCCCGGATTTTTCTGACTCTCCTATTTAAGTTCATTACAGTCTTCACACAAATCGAGTTGTTGGTTACCNTACCACGGTGATCTTCCGGTATAATTATGATAATTGTGACTGTATTTTGGGGTTTCTTTATTATTTAGGTTTTTTAATATCCAGTAGATTTGTTGGAATTTTCTGAATGGCTACCTGCGTCGCTTCAAATCTATCGGCTATTACCACTGCTATTTCATTGTACCATTAGTTACCATGCTACCCCAATTTGTTCACGGTGTATTCGCCGTCTTAGACTAACTTCAACCCTACCACCGTTTTCTGATTCAACTGTACTCGTTTTGGGATGGAGCGGCTTCAGTTAACCAATGCATTCTTAGATAGTTTTATGTTTGTTTCTACCAATGTGTGCTTATTTATACTGCCGTATCTGGAAGTACACTCTATTGTGAAGGTTCTCTGGGCTCTCACACCTTAGTGGAGTCGCCAGAGATGCTCGACAGGATGTCCTCCGACTCGTATTCTCGTAGATGGGGACGATGTGAAGCTTAGTGTGCGCGAGAATGGCGGCAGGTGTAGTAAAACGACCATGATATGGGTTTGCGAGGATATCGTGATAGACAGTCTATCCGTGAGTCGGGAATAAAACTGTGCCTGCAGAGTAAAGCAAATGGTATGCCATCAATGCTAAAGGTCCAGTGAGATGCAAGAACCCATGCCACAATATTGCTGTCACGGTTGTCATGCGTTACACTACGCTTCCAGGGATTACGTGCTACATATCGCATTTCTTTTCCCCAGTGAGATGGAAAGTTTGATTCTCGGCGGCCATATTGAATGACATTTAGAACATTTCTTCATATTTTCTGACTGTCACTGGAGGTTATGTAGTCAGGTCTTCCGTTTGCGAGCGGCAGGTCCGAAATAGTATTCCTCGCATCATTGATACTTTCACTTATATACCATATTTGCGGAGGTTTCTTTTGGCGGCTGAGTTTCCAATCTTGCCAGAATAGCTTTTACTGTTGCCGTAGTCTGGTGCGTGCTAGTATGACCAGTATGATCAGCATTAATTATATGCAAGATAATGTTCTTTTTTATCGTCGATCATTATTTCGCAAATGCGACAACCTTCAGATGAGTGATTACTGTTTATGGATTTCGAAGCCCTAAGAGACATTAGCATCGTTGCATCACTGACACCTTCAGTGTCAATTTTCTAGATGTGCGATTCACATGCGATTCACATTTCAACAATTTACTTTATCTTGTCTTGCATTGCCTTCGAAAGCATAGTTTCGGACATACAATTGTATCCCGAGGCAGCACGAATACTGATCAAGCGCTTTATCAGGTTTTCAACGCCTGCAGTGGCCTAAAGTTTGGCTACAACTCTCAAAGGAATTAGACACACGACGTTGAATTTAAAAAGCCTCGTGCACTGTTTCTGCATTGAGCACTAACAAAACGACTTGCTTTTGTCCTATTTTTAGGTATCAGTTCCACAATTGATTCCGTAATATGACTTGTGCATTGCACTTGAAAAGACTGTTTTAGGAATTCGTTTGTTTGTCTGTTCCTGGTTTCTCCGTGCAGTGGTCTGCTGATTTACCTCAGTGTTCGATAATCACAACTAATCATCATGTTTGTTCTTTCAGCATAGCCAGACATACCAACTGAATGACTATGGTTCACTGGGGCTCCCGAATGTCATATATGCACTCAGGGTGAGTTCTAATTATCATTGTTTGGTTGCATGATAGAAAACAACACGATGACAAAGTGCCGGTACGAGGTTTTAGTTTCAACATCGCTCACTCCAAATCAACATTCGTAATGCACGACAAAACAAACAGCAGTTTGAGTGAAAACGTGTATCGATTCGCATTTCGAACTAAATGAAATACATCTATTTCATTGTCGTATTATTGTTCTTTGTAATTACAAGAAGAACATTGTGTGTTACGTGTGATTTGAATCAAGTTGCCACATGGAGTGGCACATCGGCAATGGTTCACAGATCGACGTTATCTATAAGAAAAATAAGATCAATGAGCATTGATGATACACTATTTGGGGCAATAAATCAGATACACCTCGCGCGACAAAAGCAGATGTTCACTCAAAGCACAGCACACACAAACAAGAAGCAATGATCCATGGAACTGCTGATAGTGAATTAACTGAATGCCTACTCGTTGGAAACGAACTAAGAATATAGAACAGTATGACCGGTCGGCTGCACTAAGAATTTGGGAAATCAGCTGGGAGCGAATCAATCACCACTGCTTGGCAAACAGTGTGAAACCAACAGTTTTGTCAAACAAATAATCAGCCAATGAAAAACTCACACAGACTGGAAATAAGTGTGAACGAGAGGAGGAGCGCGGTGCACACACGGAGCGCCTCCTTGGAATCTAGATTGAATGGAATAAATAACAAGATGCGGTATACACCGGGTGATGCAAGTAGTGGGAATTCAGAGGGAATTAGGTTACTAGTAGATGGCTGATATCAATTTTCGCCATAGCTCAAGTATGAGGTTCACGAATTCTCCGAGGACACGTGGTTGGAATTTGCACGTAACATTCGCTGATGTCTACCACTCTGTTAGCATACAAATATGCTTGGCTTTGTATGCGATAAAACTACAATTTCATGTGTACCAATGAAGCACTGGGGTTCATTCGAAAGCTCTATCTCATGTCAACGCATTCAACATTTAAATCTTCTCGATTCAGAATGGTCAATGCTAACATAGAAAGACATTTCATGAACGAGGCAATGAGTGCACCAACACATAGAAATCATTAGAACTTTAGGGAAAACATGTGACGAGTCAACTGACAAAACATCAGAAGGGCACTCACTTTCTTTAATTGTGGCTGCAAAAGTGTTCGTGGCCGCATTGACTGATGTGGAAACTAACTTCACATTGATCACATTCGTTGTCGATAGCGACGGCTTTTCAGGAATCATTGTACCACATTTCTTGTACGTGTTGTCATCGAACTTGCCATCAAAGCTAACTTGGACATAATCACCCGTACACACATCCGTAGTCCCGACCTATTAGGCAAATCAAAAAGTGATGATTAAACGGCTGATAAGAAAGTTGCGAGTACATTACAATATAAATCGCCGTATAGGAAAACTGTTGAGTTGTCACAATATAAGTGAGAGGATTGTAAGATAGCGCTACCAAGCAGCTCACCTTAAAATTGGTGAATTCCATTTGATATTTCTTTCCATCGGCACCTGTAAGGGTATATTCACACGTGACATCCCCAGTCAATGCTTCTTTCGGCACTTTCCACGAGCCGCCCAATGTATTCAGATCGACGGCCGCGTCACCGCATTTCGGGTCTTGTGCTGGTGCGGGAACTAGTAACAATACAAGCGGAGGAAGGTTAAACAGCACAGATCCATGATGATATATTTTAACAGAAGGTTTTGATGAATGCACGTAACAAGTCTGGACTGAGATCGGTCGACCGTTTCCTAAGCAAAATTCAGACGTTCGAACAGCAAAATGTGATGGTTTACCTACGATCAACAACCATGCAATCGCATGTATTTCAATGAATCTTACCTTCAGTTATCTTAGCCGTGAATGTGTTCGTGCCCGCATTGGCTGACGTGGAAGCAAACTTTACTTTGATCACATTCGTTGTCGATGCCGATGGCTTTTCCGGAATTGTTGTGCCACATTTTTTGTACGTGTTGTCATCGAACTTGCCATCAAAGCTAACTTGGACATAATCATCCGTACACACATCCGTAGTCCCGACCTATTTAGCAAATCAGAGAGAGAGATGAGCAAACGACCTATGCGAATGACGCAAGTACATCTGACTGTGACATCATATTATGCCACGAGACATATTTTAGTATTTTCCAAGATCATTAAGCGTATTAAACGATCACACTGTTGGGTGGCTTACCTTGAAAGCGGTGAATTCCATTTGATATTTCTTTCCATCGGCACCTGTAAGGGTATATTCACACGTGACATCCCCAGTCAATGCTTCTTTCGGCACTTTCCACGAGCCGCCCAATGTATTCAGATCGACGGCCGCGTCACCGCATTTCGGGTCCTGTGCGTGGACTGAAGATAAAGCAGCACGGAATACTTGATTGCTTGGCGAGACATAGGTATGCTTTGTGTATTTGTTTTGCGTCGCATGCCAATTTATCGACGCAATGCCGCTCACCGGTGTTCTCGTGAACATGACAACGTACAGCGTCATTTTAATCAAAGTCAATTTGAACTATGATTAAAGTGTAATCATATAATAACTTTACAGCTTATGCTGTTTCACTTGGAGTATGTTTTTCATGTTCACTTTGGTTTGAAGCGGACAAGTTTCAGACTTTTTTATTCAAAAATATCTGCTTTGTTCGCCATTATTTTTAAAGAGAGCAATTTTAGCTCATTTTGAAAGTTAGTTGTTATAGGGAGCTGGTAGTTCTTCTTCGTGTATTCACTTTTTCATTCATTTACTTTATCTACCAAATGTTTGTGATCATACGAAGCATCAGAACACTTCTTTCCAATGCTGTAATGTGTGCTCAAACAGAGCATGTTCTCTGCTAAAATAGAAACAGTCTTCCGTGCCTATGAAAATTATTTCGAAGTTTCTTATTTGTTGTTTGGTTTCTACCTCTACTTCTAAAGGTCCGCAAATGTTTGTAAATAACATGGTACACGGGTATTTATATTATTTTGCATACCTACTACTTGGAGCATCAACACAATGAAAATTGTGTTCGTAGTCATTTTTTTGATTACACGTCTGCCGGACATTTGTTCTTCCAATGGCGTATTTATATTCAATTAGTATGATAGTCTGCCGTCTGATTGGTTGATCGGAATGAACACAGTTTCCGTATGTTGGCATGTCTGCATCTCTACGATTGGCTTGAATATTCTATTCTCCTACAGTAAAGTGTCAAATTAGCAGCTCAGTCTGATTCAACAATATGAACGTGTGGTACCATGTCACGCCAAGTCAACGCCTTATGATTGACTCACGCGTTCAGTGGAAATATAGTGAGAAAGACGTATTGAAAATTAACTCGAATTTACTTTTTTTTACTTTTTCTTTTTCATTTTACTTCCTTTTTTATTGAATATACAAAGATACAAGATTTTTTCAGGAAGGGGGAAGCGGCCAATCAGAGGGCTGCCATTCAATACGCAAAGGGGAAAGTCAGGCAGTGGTGGTGGGGTTCGAACACACATCCCCGGGGTGATAATGTGGTGACGTTACTACTGGATTACCACCTGTCACTGGCAACCGTTTGCGTAGCTTCTCGCTTTTAAACGTATTTAACTTCGAGTTAAGAATAAAATTAAACACAGTGTTCGTCTCCCAATCATCAAAATACACCTAAATAGCGATTGATGAGTAACCGCTCGGAAAAAACGATACAGCATAATTTTCCACTTCTGTTGGACTCACCGGATGTCACCAGATGATGGTTTGTTGTCTGATATATGAATGTCTGTCTGTGAACTCAAAGCGTGCATTTTCTGAGCATGACAATTGTCAGAGATGAATTCTGAAATGGACCTATCCTTTACCTATTCATTTCCGAGTACCAATATGATACTATTAACCCAAGTATAACCGGCTTGCATGAGTAATTTCGTCGAATTCACCAGTGAAACATGCACTATAGTTCTGGAGTAGGCTTCCATGGACAATGGGACGCCGTAAAATCCAGAATCCTTTGGTTAATCGGACACTACTTCTCTCAACAGTTACCATTGGATGTCCTCAACCATAGTTAACTTTGGTAACAATACTCTAACTATTCCTAATTAGAGCAGCGACAAAAAATAATAGGTTTTCACTTACATTGCATGGAACCCTGGAGAGCTTTGAGGATGTTAGTGTGCAGCCGTATTGCATTACGTCGTCCCAAGACCACGGAGACTGATCGAAAAAATTGCCGAGACGAAATCCTAATTTTCCTACATTTAGGCGCAATGCGTTGCCACAAATACACACGTTGTCCAGTTAAATACTCACAACCTTACGTACACTCTACGTTTATTGCATCTTGAAACTAGAACAACGTGCCCAACATGAAACCAATATGTATCGCCTCAAGTTGACCAAGTTAAACAAACTGCGTCGTATTGCACGTGTAATATATCTGTATAAAATAACTGACACATTTTGAACACTAAGAAAATATGAACAGAGAAGTCCGAAACATGGGTTTGCACAATGTATCCATGGTCATTTCGCTGCATCTGTACACGTGCATACTGTAGTCAAAGTGTTTTCTTCTAGCCAGTGGCATAACAGATGTGAGACGAAGACAAGATCGCTAACCGCAAAAGATTACATAACACCATCAAAAGTGAGTGGACAAGAGAGGGTATGGGGTCACTCATCAGGGCAAACCTAATGTGATTAATCATTCATATTGTTTCATAGATCGGGTTTGAATGGCTAGGGCCTCAGCAAATTTCAATAACTTTGTGTTTGTATGTCGATTGTGAAAAGCTCAGTAGCCTCGGTGGGCTTCGAACCCACGCATGGACACCGCCTACGCTTTGTACGCGCATGCTCTACCAGCCGAGCTACGAGGCCACACTGATAGCACTGATCTTTTTCACATTTGAATTTACCCATCCAACTTACAGAGGCATGTGGCATCTACCAGTTATCATGTAGGCTGACTGCCTCGACAGGTTTCCTTAGAATTCACCGGACTCCACCGAATGAGCTTCTAAGACAAGGTTAATTGTTCAGATAGTTGTTTGGAAAATCTGCCAAACAGCTATTTGAACTTTGTGTTTGCCTTGTTTTAGATGTCCCGGAATACGTGGAGTGAAGTGACACAATGTTTTGCTCGAATGAGTGTCGCGTTATTAAAGATCTACCCTTCTTCTGATCATCTGCTGACGAAACAGTCGCAAACTTGTCGTCCATTGCTTTAATAAGCCACACTGGAATGTGTTCGGCCATTCGGTGACGTAACTGTCTCGTTGTCCTGCCTGTGTTGATGGCCGAGCATTTGAATTGATAAGTACAATTTGATTTGGCGGAAGGAGCAATGGTTCTTTCGCCGATGTTGTAGGTATCCGGATGGTAATGGAGACAATGATTAGGTCAACTGCGTAATAGACCCGCTTGACGGCAGAGTTCAACCGCTTACTAACGAATTCAATCACGTCATCGCATTTGTATACTAACATAAAAACAGTTTTGTTTTTGGGGACAGTTATTGGGTTGTCCACTTGGCGATGAACGTGCTTGGATATCCGTTTGCTTGGAGTGCTTCTTTTAAGACGCCGCTTTCATCGTTTAAACAGACCTCGGTGCATACTTCACGACCTCGATGAAATAGTGTGCAAACGAAACCAATTTTTTATCGCATTTTTTAAATGCATTGCATTGGACGATAATTGCAAATAACCGATATCGAGGAAGTAATATACGAGTAACCTTAAACTCTTTGCCGGTAGGCTTGTTCCAGTTTAGAAACAACTATCCCCATTACTGTGGCCATCCGTTCAAACCTTCACACGTGAGCTGTATCTGGCTAGAGGCAATCTTGCCATATACTTACAGTGGATGGAACCCACTCGTGATTCCTAGAGAAACGGACAGAGTCATTTATTTCTCTTTTATCTTTTTCCGTCAAATTCTAAGAAGGAATACGAAAAGTAACAAACCTAACTTGCTGATGAGTCGATTCTCAAACAGTACAGGCATCTATCAAGACACCACACATGTAACGGTCTTCCATATTTTCCGGTTGGAAATTTGAAAGAAAGAGAATCATTGACGAGGTAATAATTAACGTAAAACTACCAGGTTGAGTGTGGAGGCTGGCAAAAACTCGATAATGCAGTGTATCACGAAGATTATACTGATCTAAAGTAGGTAGTCCTTGCATAGATGAAGTTGCGGCCATGTATCGTGCAAAAAAGCACTTATTGGCAAAAAGTATGTATATTTTACCCCGATTTGTGAACAAGCATGGTGCCAACGTCATAAACATATTACCAATAACAATAATTGGGGATAGGTGGAATGGGGTAAAGAGCAAAGTGGAAAGAGTTTGAGACAGTTAAATACGGGAAATTGGAAGATAACAGGGAGAACAACATTTTTTATTTTTTGTTATTTTTACGAGGCACAGGATTTCAACAGGCGGTCCGTACAGCATTCGCTGCACGGACTTCTATTATGCGTCATATTTTTCAGCATCTCTAACCAACGACAATCTTCTTCCCTTGGGATCCAACCTGGGAGGCGGGCTGCACTAACCGAAGCCGAAGCTGAAGCTTCTTCATGCCTCCACGCCACGTAATGGTCTGACCGCCACGCCGCTTATTCTAGCGTTGCCCGGCACGTGCGAAGAGAACACGAAAAGATAGTCGATGGACAGGCATACGCAATACGTAACCAAGCCCTCAGAGGCGGCGTACAGCGATACCTTCCGTTAGAGAACGACTATCCGCACCCAACATACGACCAAGAATGTCGTCATTACTCACCCGATGTTCTCACCAAACACGAGAAGTATTTCAGAGAGATCTGTGATCAAATATAGAAAGTCACTTAGTATCCTCAACGCGGAGGGACCAAGTCTGGCAACCCTAAGGCAAATCGCTGTGAACTGCGGTGATGTACACCCATGTACACGCCAAAAATTACTACAGTAATAAAGTTCAAGAGGCTTCGCTCCCCGGTTTCTCGACACCCGACCACAAACCAATAGTATCAACCAATCAAAGGTCGTGCAGTTCAAACTGAAATCGTGTAACTCGAGGAAGAAAAGCGGTGATTGGTTGACGCTCATTCAGTCAACGATATTTCTGTGCGCATATCCAACCCCATTGATATTTCAGGTATGTGAACCGCTGCTTCTGTGAACTTCTTTCTGTATCTCGCTGACCAGAGATTCCGAAATACGATTACCAGTAAGGTTTGGTGCTCCATCTGTGATTGCAATCCATATTGCTTGTGTCTAATCCGATTACTACAGGTCTGAATCATCGTTAGCACCGAAAGCTGGTTATCGAACTCTGTCCATTCTGGTCAAATCGCAATAAATGGCTATCATACCTTCAAGAAAAGCGATCCTCGTCGGGGAGAAGGGTCACCAATTTCATATAAAAAGAGATTGGTGGTGGCACAGTGGTTTAGTCGCTTTCATCGATGTGTTTTGGGCCATATGATCCCAGGTTCGATCACCGTCACAAGATATTGGCGAAAGGCAGCTCAGTTGTCGTCAGGTTCAATAACAAGGCTAAACTATCGGGGGGTTTTAATGTTTCTGTACTCCAAGTCTCGCAGCTTAGGTTGCCGGCTTCTGCCACTGAATATGGAGGTGAATATGGAGGTCCCACCGTTTGCTGTTCATCACACTTATGTGTAATAAAATATTTTAAAAATTTCAAAACATCTCCAAGATTCACCTTTGTTTGAAACTCGTGCTCTTGTCCTCCTCTACCTATACGCTGCTTGTCTCAACCAATAACGATCTCATAAACATTGTCAAAGCCTTCGACCACCTGGCTCTCCAGTCCTTCTCCTCCACACTCGTTCTAAGAAGTTAATGTGCCTGAAATGTGCTGCAACACGTTATCTGATCCTCAAAATTTACTAGAATTTCCTTCATGTTTTCGTGTAGTATGTTGTGTTCAAAGCTTGGCATCGCCAACAAGAAGGAAAATATCCTCCACTTAGATTTAAGCCTAGACCTACCTGACACTCAAGATATCACCATTGGCTTGTTCCGCGGGAGTAATCAATACCTGGAATCCAGCCTCTTTAAGTGATCGTACTTGTCATCCCTCCTTAACATGACTTCGTACTTTCAAGTGGAAGAAGGTTGAATAGGCACTACCAGTGATGAACTACAGCATACCTATTCCAATTGATTGATCATGAGAACACAAGTTAGCCGACAAGCTCAATTTTGATACGAAAAACCGATCAGTCAAATACAGTTCAATTTATAGAAGATTAGACTGGATGTGAGAGGAGATATATTTACGAAAGGAATCAGAGTTTAGAAGGAGATGGTATAATTTTAACAACACGCGTGCTTCGTATTGATTTGTCCGTACCTGGGTATGAAAAACGAAGAGTATATTTGAAAGGGTGAATGCGCTGAGGACTGTGAGTTCACAAACGGAGGTCAGCTTCCCAGATTGTAAGTGGATGACAATGAAACGGTCAGAGTTCTTACTCACTGTTTCTGGTACACAAGGGAGGGGGCATGGGGTGGTGGTGTTACCCGACGGATGGCAATCACCTCGATTGTTATGAAATATGGGACTTGACCTCCTTAGATAAGCTTTCCCTGACCGTATGGAGAGGACAAAAACTGCAAGCACACTGACTGTATGGTTAGACTCAGCTAGAATGTCGGGAATTGTCGTGGATACGTTAGTTGTCTATTCCTGATTAACGAACCCCTGGTTTTATATAGTTTTGATTATTCTTATCTCGTCTCTTGTCCTATGCTTTGTTTTACCAACCGTAATATTTGAATGTCGCCCTTAATTAGCCTACAAAAGCTGTGCCACTCTGAGTTTCACTACAACTTCACTAGATCTCTACAAACATTAGTCTGCAAATATAAGATTTGCCAAATAACCAGAATTTCCTGATTCACAAACTCTCAACATTTGACTCGATTTCTGAAATGGGAAATCAGTATAATTCATTTGAGATATGCATACTTGACGATTGGAACTACTTTAAAAAGCACTCCTCCTGATGCAATCTCCTGGAAGTTGGTTCGTTTCATTCTCGAGCACTTGTGCATCCACATTTTTGACATTGTTCCACCTGGTCTGCATTTAATCCGGAAAGACGTCACCCAAATACTTG